CGCGTAAGACGTCACTCCGCTGGTCCCCCCAGCAGCCCTTGAAAGTGTCGATAGTTTCGCAGATCGCAGCCCCCGAGGGGGTGGCGAGGTTTCATTCGAGTCTGGGTAGGACGTCACTCCGCTGGACCCCCCCCCGCAGCCTTCGAAAGTGGCGACAGTTTCGCTTGTCGCAGCCCCCCAGGGATGGCGAGGTCTCATCTGAATCTGGATAGGACGTTATTCCGCTGGCCCCCCCATCAGTCCTCGAAAGCGGCGACAGCCTCGCTGGTTGCAGCCCCCCCAGGCATGGCGAGGTCTAATCTGAGACTGCGTACCACGTCACTCCGCTGGACCCCCAGCAACCCTCGAAAATGGCGACAGCTTTGCAGTGGCGACCGTTTCACACATCGCAACCCCACAGGCATGGCGAGGTTTAACATGAGACTGCGTATCACGTCACTCCGTTGGATCCCCCAGCAGCCTTCGACAGTGGCGACCGTTTCGCACATCGCAACCCCACAAGGATGGCGAGGTCGAATGTGAATCTGCGTAGCACGTCGCTCCGCTGGATTCCCCCAGCAGCTCACGAATGTGGTGACAGTTTCGCAGATCGCACCCCCACAGGGATGGCGAGGTCTAATCTGAATATGTGTAGCACTCCACTGTGCGGGACCCCCCAGCAGTCGCCGAACGTGGCGACAGTTTCGCAGATCGCAAGCCCACAGGTACGGCGAGGTCTAATATGAATCTGCGTAGCACGTCACTCCACTGGACCCCCCCCAGCAACCTTCGAATGTGGTCACAGACTGGCAGATCGTAGCCCCCCAAGGATGGCGAGGTATGAGCCGATTTGGCACGCAAAAACGAACGAGGTAAGAGGCAGGAGAGGGGAGCCAGGGGACGGGAAGGAGGAACAGGAGGAGGTGGAGACCGCACTGCTCCATTCAAAATGAATACCCAATGCAGGAGGGCAAACCACACAGGGAGGTAGGTGCGATTAGAAGAAAGGGGCGGGGGAGAGAATTCAGAGAAAAAAGATCGCAACGCAACCATTGAATTCACCTACCGTTCTTCCCCATTGTATCCAACCTCACCAAGGATCTGTGGAGCGTGCCGACACCAGGGATGGTTGAACATTCCTGGGGCGTGCGAGGCATGCGGGAGTATTGATGAGTTGAGGCCCGTTGCCAGAGGTGACATATGTGTAGTTCATCCCGAAAATGGCCAAGTGCGTGCTTGGAATGATGTTGCGAGGAGTGAGTTCGATCCCAAACTCACGTTGACAGCTAGGGAGGAGGAGATGGAACAATTCTGGAAACACGAGGTCTATGAGAAAATCATGAGGAATCGTGTCGGGCTATGATCGGCGAGGTCCCCATCGGTACGAGGTGGTTTGATACCAGCAAGGGCGACGATGTCAATCCCGATTGCAAATTGGAAGCTCAGAAGCTGCCTTTGTCAAATTGCTGAGAGACCAGGACATGACAGAGGAGAGCGCGAGAAAATACGCAATGTGATCACATATGTTAAACGGGCTTAATGTTCTTTCACAGGCAAGAAGGAACATCCATCAGGCTACCCGATGGAAATCGTGCACCAGGCATGTGTGGAAGACTATAACAGCCAATGTGCGGCACTCGGGGACGCCACCAGCAACGGGGAGGACCTTTGTATGGATTTCGCACGTGACGTTGGCTTTGACAACGGGAAATCATCACTATGTGTTGAAACACATGACTCAGCGAATACGGGTAACAGCTCATTGTGACGACTTTGTTTTTTTGGGTAATTGCGTGGATCTTGACTGGCCCGAAAGAGAAATCAACATATTTTTGAAATTCGAATCCGGGACATATTCGGATCAGGATCAACAAGGTTTCAAGCCGATCGTGATTCTCAACCGAATTGTTGAATGGAGCTGGGGTGGGTTATGGTATGAGGCAGACCAAAGGCATTTTGGAATATTTGTCAAAGACCAGGCCTGGAGCGAGTCAAAGTGAGATGTGAGATACCTGGTGGAAAGAATGCTTGCGGATATATACCAAGTGTAAGTGGCTCGAGCTAACCATTTGTCACAAAACCGATCCGACATGCAGTTTTCAGTGATGGAGCTTGCGCGCTCTATATCAGCTCCGACCCGAGGGGCTTGGAAACGCCTCGTGAAGTTGGGCAAGTATTTCAAGGACCAGGACAGGTGTGGATAACAGTACTTGTACCAGGAGTGCCTTCAGGAATTAACGGTGTGGACCGACGCTGATTACGCCAGATGTAAGAGGGCACGTACATCAGCAAATGGTGTGGCAGTCATGTGAGGACCACTTTTGAAAAAATCGTGGGGTTCGACTCGCACCGTAGTGGCGCTATCTTGTGGATCATCGAATTGCTATGCAATTGTGACAGGTGGTTCAGTCGCACTAGGGCTATAAGCAGTTCTCACATATTTCAACGTTGATTGCGGCATCGTGCGAATGAGCGATGCCAGTGCGGCGATTGCCTTCGCAAGCCGGCGGGGATTAGGAAAAGTCAGGCTTGTTGATGTTTGTCATTTTTGGCCGCAAGGAAAGGTGGGACGAGGAGACACTACATTGGCCAAAGTAGGAACACATGAGAGTTTGTCATATGCTTTGATTGAACATGTGAGCAGGGCTGACATGCCCATACGTGTGCGACGTGCAAATCAACACGTCGTAAATGAAAAACACGAGCTGGCACCAGCTACGTACTGTTAGCTTAACCAGAGATGAAGTCATCGTTGCGTGCCATTTTGACCGGTAGAGTTGAGGTCAGGATCCGTTGCAATCCAAGTGCTCGTCTACACGCGTCATGGAGCATGTTGATCAGTCCGTATAACCTGGTGTGCTGTGCCACTTAACAATCATGTATCGCGTGTTAGGAGGCCCCGTGCACGCCTACGTCCAATCCGTCGTCGCCCAGTGCTTGCGCCAAGAATGCCTTCTCGTATTGTAGTGGCGTTCGGCGCTTGGGGTGCCCCCCAGACTGGGCGGCGACACGTCGCCGACAGACACGCACGCACACGCTCGCAGACATTACGCGCACCCACGCACACACGCACGCACACACACACAATACATATACCCACAGACACACACGCACACCACACTCACACACCCGCGCCCCCCCTCGCAGGCACATGCACACGCACACGCCGGCAACGCACACACATACACACACACACACACACACCACGCACACCGCGCGAACACACACACACAGACACACACACACACACGCACCACACAACAGATACGCACTTCACCGGCACCTTCGTCTTCCACCCCATTTGTTCCCCGTTTTCCGTTCGTGTCCCGTTCCAGTTCTTTTCTCCCTTTTTCCAAGATTCCTTTCTCGCGTGCGCGGACAAACATTACTCCGCGCACGCGCGCGCACCCCGCCTCCCCTCCTTCCCCGGCAGAGCCACCCCGGCAACCCCCCCAGAGGCTGAAATCGGGGCTCAAGAGACGGGGGTCGATTAAAACGGGGGTCAGCCAGGGCACCGGAACCTTCAGGATCCTGCGAAAACCCCTTCTGGCTGACCCAGGTTGGCGAGCCGCTCGTGGCCGCGAGGCGGCCGCGCATATTGGTTGACCTGGGTTTGCGAAGACCTGCGTTGCAGTTTTTCTCCTGCATTGCAGTTTTTGGATTCCTGCTGACCCGGGTTTGGATTGACCCGGGTCAGAAGATCCCCGATGAAGCTCAGCTTTGAGGCTGTAGCTGGGGCCTCCTCGAACTCAGACGCCACGGGACCTCCCCTTCCCCTCCCCCGCGCCATCGGAACCCACGCCACCAGAACCCCCCCCCTATTCCCCCAGGCGGGCCGGGGGATCGGACCCCCCCCCCACGCCGCCTGAACCCACGCCACCGGAACCCTTCCCCCCCCTCTCCCCCCTTCCCTTGCCCCGGCAGAGCCACCCCAGTCACCCCTCCCCTTTTAAACTCACACGCCAGATCGGTGGATTTTACCCACGTAGAGTTGCCACGGTGCATCTTACAGTTTCCATCTCACAAGTGTGTCCAGCTCGCTTCATAGCAGTTCTCCGCCTCCCAATCGACCAACACAGACCGCAGGGGGGAGTTTTAACATAGCTGTGCGACTGGGTGAGGATGCCAGGGTGTCCGATACTATTAGTATTTTGATCAAGTACTTTTCTTCTCCAGGGGAAATGGTTCCTACCATACTTTTAGGAGGCGGAGGAGGAGGGGGAGGAGGAGGAGGGGGAGGAGCAGAAAGATGAGACGGGGGAGCAAGGGGGACCACGACGAGGTATGTATGATGCGGCGCAGAAGGATAAGGATGAGGAGGTGGGGGGCTCAGGGACAATGGCTCTGTCGGTCTGGGCTTTGCAGTCTCCGAGGTCGTGCGGGAGATAATTTGTGAGCACACGGGGCTCGACATAGCAGTATCCATTGTCGGCCAACTCTGGTTCGCATTCGAGAATGAGGCCCTTGCTTGAGGATCGGGGTTAGGATTCGCGCAGCGGATATATATATATATATGTATATATACATACACACATACATATAGTTATACATATATATACATAGGTATGTATGTATGTATGTATGTATGTATGTATGTATGTATGTATGTATGTATGTATGTATGTATGTATGTATGTATGTACGTATGCATGCATGCATGCATGCATGCATGCATGCATGCATATATGTGTATACATGTATGTATGTATGTATGTATGCATGCATGCATGCATGCATGCATGTACGTACGTACGTACGTATGTATGTATGTATGTATGTATGTATGTATGTATGTATGTATGTATGTATGTATGTATGTATGTACTCTTGCATGCATGCATGTATGTCTGTCTGTCTGTGTGTGTGTGTGTCTGTCTGTCTGTCTGTCTGTCTGTCTGCCTGCCTGTCTGTCTGTCTGTATGTATGTATGTATGTATGTATGTATGTATGTATGTATGTACGTATGTATACAGGAGTCCAAGTGTTTTTTTGCACATTGTCGTGGCGCTCCCGCTTGCGAGGCACTGAGGGAAGGCGCGGCCAAGGCGCGCGAATTGAGGGACCTGTGCGCCGCAGACGCGCTCTCGGACTTTCCCCCCGCAGTGGTAACGCTTGTTGCAACAGAGAGAGCACTTCAGGGGAGCAATAATGATGTGGAAGCGGCGGGGGAGGAGGAGGAGGATGAGGAGGAGGAAGACGAGAATAAACAATGAGGATGACTAGACTAGGAGGGGGAAGCATTGTCAGGATACTCTGAGATGGGGCATTGGGAGTCGACGGAGTAGAGGGAGGAGGAGAAGGAGGAGGAGAAGGAGGAGATAGGACCGACGAGTGCGCAGCTTCTCCTCCTTCGTGCTCCGGCGTGACCGATCCGGCGCCCTCCGCTCGAGACATCAGAAGTGTCAGCCGGCCCGCGCTGCGGCGAGGAGGCGAAGGCGGGCGCCCCCCGTACGGAGTCGAGGCAGTGCAGCCAGCGCACGAGGCGGCGTCGAGGCGGCGACGGGCGCCCACACTGCGGGGCCATCGTGCGAGGCGGCGAGGAGGGGGCGGTGGCGAGTGCCCAGCGGTCGGAGCCTCGGGAGGGCCATCCATCGCACGAGGCGGCCGACGAGGCGGCGGCAGGCGCCCGTGGTGCGACAGCCGGGAGCTGCTGGCCAGCGCATGAGGCGGCGACGAGGCGGCGACGGGCGGCCCACCGAGCAAAAGCCTGGAAAGGCCATCCATTGCTCGAGGCGGCAGCGAGGCGGCGACGGGTGCCCACCGCGCGAAAACCGGGACGTGCCACCCAATCTAAGTCAGAAGCGAAGGCAGCACACCTTGGTGCAACCACATTTTTCGGGATGATAGTCTTGGCTGTGGCCTCGGGACTTCATGGAGCCGCATGTGTGCCTAACGTGGTCTCTTGTGGGCTCTGTAGGTGCCTTTCGGGCGTGTTGGGGCCGCTTGCGTCGTCTTGTGAGCCTCTTGGACTGTTGCTGGGACATCTTGAACGCCCAAAGCTGTTTCTGCATTCCTGCGCCCCGTCCCCCCCGCCTCCCATCCAACCATTCAGAAACGGGTCCCCTATGAAGGCTTTTTTGGGGAGGTGTTTGTCTCTGCGAGATTTTCAGGGAAACCCTATGACGTGTGCCACGCAGGAAGAGGGCGGAAAACGGGGGGGGAGTAAGGGGCATGTGCTGGTCGCCGCGCTTCTTTAGCTGAGCGAGCAGGACCCGGACCCCGACACGCGGGCCCTGATGCTAGGCGGGGCCGCCCGTATTGTGGAATTTGGTGGTGGGTCGAGGCCAGATCGTTTATTCTACAGGCTTACGCCACATCTGCCAACCCAGCGAGGTCGTTCGTGGGCCTGACTTGTGCAGAGTGCTTGGTCACTTGGTGGTCTCGTTGGAGAGGCCATTTGAGTCAGTTCTCCAGATATTTCGCGGGATTGCGGGAACTCCATGGACAAACCCCATGCGCAGCAGTGAATTTGGGCGTTCTGCGGGCCATCTGCCGGGTCTCTGAAGGGGGTCCTGAAGGAATCATCTTGGTGCCAAGACGGAGCCCGAGACGGCCCTCCTGAGTCGTGTCCCCTCGGACGCGCCGTGGGCCAGAGGTCCGTTGTGAGGATGGGCGTGCGCGCGTTTGAACGACGGTGGTTGTGCCAGAGAGGGGCCTGAGCACAAGGGTTGGGCTCGCCTTGCTGTTGCCGTGGGGACTGCCGCGCGCAAGTGTGCGGGGGGAGTTGCACAAAGGTTGTGCCAGAGAGGAGTCCGAAGTAAACGAAAGGCGAGCGGAGGTTGCCGTAGGCGGGGGCGAAAGTAAGCTCCGGGCGACAGGGTGCCATCTGGGATCGCGCAGTGGGCCTTTCGGGATCCTTTTGGGCCGTCGGCGGCGCCTTGTTAGCCGTATGAAGGCCTTTTTGGTTCGGGGGCTATCTTGCGGGTTTTGTGGGCCGCCTCCGGGCCTTCCGCGATCTGGGACGCCTGTTGGGTTTCGGGTCAGAGGTCCAGGCCTCTGACGCAGTATGCCAGATTGTGAGGTGTCCTGACCAGGTGCGGCAATTTTGGCTGATTGGGGCCCTAGGGGGGAGTCCTTTGGGGGCCATCTTGGAGCGTCTACTGGCCAGTGGGGGCTCTCCTGGGCAGTCTGTGGCGGCTTGCGGGCCGTATTGGGGCCATCTTGGGCTGGGTGGGGCCACGGCTTCGGAGCCACTTTGCCAACACATGTCCCTTTTCCTTAATGGGCGACATGATTTTGGCTAGTTGGAGCCCTTGTGGAGGGTCTGTTGGAGGAACCTTGGAGGCTTCGTGGTCTGTCGTGGCCAGATTTTGTTTTTCACTCGTGCTTGTCCTTTCGTTTCTTTCCTTACGTTTTTTGGCATTCGGTGGGGGGCCGTCGACGCAGTTGGACGCGGTTAACAAGTCTGACATGGGCCCTGCCCAAACAAGGTCTCCGAGTTTACTTTTGTGAGTTAATTTGGCTGAAGACAATTTGCTTCCAAAGGTGTGCGTGGTCAACTAGGGCTGGGTCCAAAGTCGGTGTACAGCTGCCAGCATCGGAGGATGGGGAGTGAGATCGCAGTGAAATGGAGACCCCCCACCGGGAAATCGGTTTCGGTTTCGTGTTCGTGTCGTGCCTGCGGGCGAGGCGAAGCTGCGCGTGATCCTCGTGTAGCTAGGCCAAAGTAGGAGCGAAAGTCCGTTCCCGTCCGGCGGTGGCTGGGAGGTGTCCCAGTTGGGCCGGGCGGTGTCCCGGGTGTCCCGGGTGTCAGTAGGAGCGAAAGTCGGTTTCCCGTCCGCCGGTGGCCGGGAGGTGTCCCAGTTGGGCCGGGCGGTGTCCCGGGTGTCCCGGGTTTCTTGGGCGTCCCGGCGCTAACGCATGTCGCTAATTTCGTAATTCCTTTTTTGTCGGCGCCTGCGGCGGGCTTACTTATCCAATCCAGCTTATCTGATCCAATCCATCTTGTCCAATCCAATCCATTTTATCTTATCCAAGGTGACAGGCTGGAGGTCAGTCAGGGTGGGCATTTGATCTCAATCCTTTCCCAACCTCCTTATCGCCCGCAGGGCGGTCGTATAGGTAATGCAGTATTGCGCGAGATGCCTTACAGGCTCGGCATCCAGATCTTGGACGCCCTCAGGCTTCTCGCAGACGCCTACGGCGATCTACCCCACCCTTGGAGCCTCTTGGGAATGGCTGAGTGGTTGAATGTCGGGCCAACGTTTGGCTAAGCTATTGGACTATGTGTTCCTCCAACCGTTTTGGAAACCCTTCGGGGAACACAGGAGGGAGTAAGAGGGGAGGAGTAGGACGCGGATAATGATGACAATGGTGATGATGATGATGATGATGATGATGATGATGATGTTGATGATGCTGATGATGATTATGAAGATGATCATGCTGATGATGATGCTAACGATGATGATGCTGCTGATAATGATGATGATGAACATGACGATGATGATTATAACGATGAGGATGACGATAATGGTGATGACGATGATTCTGATGACGATGATACTGATGCTGATGCTGATGCTGATGTTGATGGTGATGCTGATGATGGTGATGACCTTGGTTCGTCCTGACACGCTTTTCATTGTATGTGGTCTCAGTTTTGTTGTTGCTGTTGTTGTGGTTGTTGTTGTTGGTATTTTCGCAGTGAACGTTTCGAGTCGAAAAGCGATAGAAACACGATACGTTGTTGTATAACAAGTTTTAAAGATGCTGTCTTTTTCAAGCGTTTTAAGACCTGGCGCTGGGGATCATCCATTTTTGACGCGTTTCTTGATTTCTTGTCGAACGCTGCTGCTTGTTTTCCCTGCCGTCTTCGCTCCCGCTCTCCCGTTCCTGCTGCCTCCTGGTCCTCCTGCTCCGCGCGCAGAGCTAAAAACGGGAAAAACGCCTCAACACTGGTCTAACACCAGCGCGCAACAGGCCCGGAGGCCCCGCGACCAGCCAGCAGCAACGGCTGGAAAGAGAAAGAGGAACACAGCAAAACAATCGAGGACGGCGTAGACGGCAATATTCAACAAAGCAGTGCGCTGATAAAAAACGCCAAGCATTCAAAGCTAAACATGCAACAAGGAACGAACCGATTTCTTTTAGCGTGATTAGTGTTTGTAGTTGGTGCCTAAAAGCGCTAAACCATGTTTTCCAGGACACCAAGTTGAAAACTGTAGAACAGAGTGCAGGACATACTGAGGACGGACGGATGATGATGATGATGATGATGACGTTGATGATGACGATGATGATGATGCTGCCGATGCTGTCGTTAATGTTGATGGTGAAGATGACGACCACGACGACGATGATGATTATGTTGATTATGCTTATGATGATGACGCTGTTGCGGATGCTGATGCTGATGCTGATGCTGATGCTGCTGCTGATGATGATGACGGTGATTATGGTGATGATGATGGCGTTGATGATTATGATTCTGATGATGATGATGGTGACGATGACGATGATGATGATGAGGATTATAACGATGATTCTGGTGACGTGGATGATGATGATGATGATGATGATGATGATGATGATGATGATGATTATGATGATGGCGATGATAATGATGATGCTGATTCTGATTATGATGCTGATGATGTTTATGATGATGCTGCTGCTGCTCGTGATGATGCTGATGCCGATTCTGAGATGGTGCTTGTGCTGATGATGATGTTGATGATGCTGCTGATGAGGATGCTGACGATGATGATGAGGATGATGATGATGATGACGATGATGATGACGATACTGATGATGATGATGATGCCTGTGCTGATGCTGATGCTGCTGATGATGATGTGGATGTTTACGATGATGATGCTGCTGATGATGATGATGATGACAATGATTATGCTTATGATGATGCTGATGCTGATGCTAATGATGATGCTGATGCTGTTCATGACGATGATGCTGATGATGATGCTGATGCTGATGATGGTGCTGATGTTGAGGTGGAGGGAGGATGGAGAGGAGGGGAAGGAGGAGGACGATGTTGATGATGGTGATGACTATTATGATGATCATGACGACGATGCTGATGCTGATGCTGATGCTGATGCTGATGCTGCTGATGATGATGATGTTGTTTATGATGTTAATGATTACGATGATGATGCTGATGATGCTGCTCATGATGATGATGATGATGAGGCTGATGCTGATGTTGATGCTGATGCTGATGATGCTGATGATGATGACGATGATGGTGCTGATGATGATGATGCTGACGATGATGATGCTGATAGTGATTCTGAAGCTTATGCTGATACTGATGCTGATGCTGATGCTGATTCTGATGATGATCCTGATGATGTTGATGATGAAGGTGCTGATGATGACGATGATGATGCTGCTGCTGATGATGATGATGAGATGATGATGCTGATGATGATGATGATGGTGCTGGTGCTGCTGCGTCTGCTGCTGCTGATGATGATGATGATGCTGATGCTGATGCTGAGTATGATGATCATGATGAGATGATGCTGATGATGATGTTGATGCTGATTCTGGCGATGATGGTGCTGATGATGATGATAGACATGATGATGCTGATGCTAATGATGATTATGATGCTTCTGATGATGCTGATGATGATGACAATGATGCTGATGTTTCTGATGATGGTGATGCTGTTCATGATGCTGATGCTGATGCTGATGATGCTGCTGCTGATAATGATGATTCTGTTCATGATGCTGATGCTGATGCTGATGTTGATGTTGATGTTGATGCTGATGATGCTGATGAGGATGATTATTATGATGATGATGTTGGTGATGTTGATGCTGATTATGATGTTTCTGATGATGATAGTGATGCTGATGATGATGATTATGGTTATGATGTTGCTGATGATGATGTTGATGATGTTGATGATGGTGGTGTTGATGATGATGATGAGGCTGATGCTGATGTTGATGCTGATGCTGATGCTGATGATGCTGATGCTGATGCTGATATTGATGATGATGGTGCTGCTGCTGATGATGATGAACATGATGATGATGATGATGATGATGATGATGATGTTGTTGATGTTGATGATGATGATGCTGATGCTGATGCTGATTCTGATGTTTCTGATGATTATGCTGATGATGATGATGATGATTATTGTGTTGATGATGTTGCTGATGATGATGTTGATGTTGTTGTTGTTGTTGTTGTTGTTGTTGTTGTTGTTGTTGTTGTTGTTGTTGTTGTTGTTGTTGTTGACGATGATGATGATGATGATGATG